GTTAATGGACAGAGGAATGTCTGTAAAATAAGTAAAATAAGTGATACTGCAGCTACACCTACTGACTAAAACAGGTCACAACAGGTTCCCACACTCCTTCCATCACACTGCCTCTTTGGAAGCCCCCCCCACCCGAAAATTTAATAGTGAGTTAAGGAGAATGAGATATAACAAAAACAAATACAGCATAATAAAGTATTGGTATTTATAACTGGAAACACTAGTGTTCCCTGCAACATGAGCCAGGCTTCTCTTTATATTCTACTAGAGATCTGATACTCAAACACTCAAAGAGTCAAAGGCAGCTTCAGCTCTAGATGTTTTGTGTACTAATGCTTTTTAAATCTTTAAAGCCTGAATCACCACGTAATTGCCAGAAGATTCTGAATTTATTGAGCTATTTAACAAATTTCTTTAAAAAATAATTAACTACATTTTAATTTCCACACATGACTTTTAGTCTGCATCGTATTTCCTGCATCTGGCATTTTTTCAAATTGCTTAAAAATGTATTGTGCAATTTATTTAGCTGTTTTTCAGGGTGGGGGGAAAATGACACTGATGATGTATGAGTCTCAAAAACTCACAAAAAATTTTATGTATCAAATATTATACAGTAGGTGTTTATTAACAGCAAACAATACTTAAAAGCCATGTTGGATTCTTACAGAAATTAAGAGTCAAATTAAAGACTCTACTACAACTACTTCTGACCAGCAGCCATCCTAGCCTCCTAATTTCCCCACAAATCTTCCTAATGCATGAAAAAATGTAACTATAACTGTGACTGTCTCTCTCGTCTTTGATACAGTAACCGATTGTTGATATTTTTTTTGTTTCTCGTTTTCATTGTGGTCATAGTGATGGTCGTTACCTGGGTCAAGGTGTGTGAATGTGCCAATGACAAAGTCCAGGGTAGAGATGGCCAGAACAGCCAGGAGGAGCAGCTGAAGTCTGACAATCCACTTGACACCAGCCAAGTTGATTCCAAGCAGACCTAGCAGCACTGCTGCTGACATGCAGCGCACCGCCCACTGAGTCTGAAGACCCAGCAGTTCTGCCACTGACTCGGAGAACCCCGTGATGTACATCGCCCCAGCGACGCACTGCAGAGTGGTAGAGAGCATTAATAGTGACACGAGATAGAAGGAAGGAAATTCAGTTTGTGCATTCCATGATTTTCTTAAGGGATAAAATATTACAAACAAACAATTTTAGCGGTGTTCAAATTCACTCACCTGCCCAAACACATAAAGGAGGCCAACAGTGCCCCCGACCCTTCCCCCTAGGATGGTAGAGATCATGGAGTAGATTCCTCCACTCCCAACACCACAGTGTTCAGACACTCCGATTCCTGACATAACTGTCACTAAAGCAACCAACACAACCATGGAGACGAGAACCATCCCAAGCAGCACTCCTGTGTTCCCCTGGATAATGTTAGGAAACAGCAAAGATCCAAAGTACAGAGTGATCACTGCACAAACTACACCACAATATGCATCTGCAGTTGTGAACTGGATATATTT